TAATGCAAGCAAAGCTTTAAATGCAACTTCTAGCCAAGTGTGGAAAACCATTAGTTCAAGGTCACCATCATGGATAAAGGTCATTCAGGGCTTGTTCTGCTTTGTGCATATAATTGCTAATCAGACTGACATGTCTTTTCAAGTTTGTAATGTTCATACGTTTAAGATTAGTGGAGCAATATGTATGTTCAAAACCAGCAGGGTTTTTTTAAACTTATCTTGGTACTGCAGCTTACTTTAAATCATGACTTCATTTTGAAAAACTGGAATAGGCATTATTATGGTGTGACCTATAATGCTACATACACGAGGTGCAAAACTGAAATTTGGAGTAGTGGCAGTACAAACAAGGCCTCCATACATACATTTTTATAATTATTTACTACACAGTATTGCCCATCCATATTATCGAGTTTTGCGCTTTTTTTTTTTAAACATGTCACTTTCAGGAAGAGAAAGCATGGAAATTTTAGTCTAATTTTAACTGTTTTAGACAAAGGAAATGCAGTGAATCTAATCTACCTGGATTTTACTAAGGCAATTTATGCAGCTCCACATGGGAAATTATTAGTTAGACTGGAGAAGATGGGGATTAATAGGAGAACTGAAAGGTGGACAAGGAAGTGGTTAAAGGGGGACTACAACGGGTCATACTGAAAGGTGAACTGTAAGGCTGGAGGGAGGTTACTAGTGGAGTTCCTCAGGGATCAGTCTTGGGATCTGTCTTGTCCAACATTTTTATTAATAACTTGGCACAAAAAGTGGCTACGTTTATGGCCATGTTATTATGCAACCCAATTAAAAAGTTGATGTTGGAGTGGATCAGAAATGATGTGATAAAATGCTGGTGTCACCATTTTCAACTAAAACCTCTAAGAAAATTACCCATTTATTGGTCAACAGTCGGGTAGGGAAAAAGTTCACATGAAGCAGTCTGAATTTCTAATGCACTCAAAATTCAGAAGACATAAGAAAATGACTAGTTTGGGAGGGATATTTTTAAAAATGACCATTTAAAATACCCCAGATATACCACACAAGAAAAAAAAATAGACCCAAGCAAAATGTTATGTATTTATTTGATAAAACTGAGGTAAAATAATTTCACACCAATGCAAGAACAGAAGTTAGAAAAATCTTCTCATTGATTGTACACCTCTACCCTGATATAACGCGACCCGATACAACAAGAATTCAGATATAACCCGGTAAAGCAGTGCTCCGGGGAGGCGGGGCTGCGCACTCCAGCGGATCAAAGCAAGTTCAATATAACTCGGTTTCACCTATAACGCGGTAAGATTTTTTAGCTCCCGAGAACAGCGTTATATCGAGGTGGAGGTGTATTTGAAAAAAAAAAAAAAATCACAAGAATTCGAGATGGGATAAATTATAGTTTCAGCTCAGTAGAGGAATTGACAAGATAATCAGATCTGTTAAAAAAATAAGTACATTGCAGACATTTTCCTACTGAACCAACACATCTTTCCTGAGGCCAGGGATGGTGTTAGATTTGCTGGGGCCCAGGCAGAAACTAAGGAGTGGGCCCCTCACCCACCTCCCTTACTTGCTCACACATTGGCTTCAGAAACGTTGCAGAAATCCAAAGCCTGAGCCCCGTTGCACAGGGCTGAAGCCTGAGCCTGCCACACAGGCGTCCCCTGTGGAGTGGGGCCCCAGGCAATTGCCTTGCTTGCTAGCCTCTAACAGTGGCCCTGCCTGAGGCCTGTAAATAAGACCAACCACCGTTAATAGTACAAGTCCCTATTACTTAACAGAATACCAGTGGAAATAAAGAATTAGATATTTTTATGCTCCAGCTTTGCAAACCAAAATAGAGTTAAATTCACAGCAAAATACAGGAGGGAGTGCCCTGGCATGAAGCTAAACAGTCTTCCTACTTTCCAAGAATATTCAAACTGAAAGCCCTCTGGCATGATGTTAGGAAATGGATGCAAGAGATATTACAGGGATAGCGCTACACAGTGTTATTATTATGGTACTGGGGAAATCACCTGAAGTGTTCTCCACTTGTGGCCCACCCACACCAGATCCTAACAACTAAGCCACCCAATTGATGGTTACACTGCAAGTGAGAATTACTGATTCTAGCTGGGATTAATTCTTTTGATCTTAAACATGTGAGGTGAGAGACAGATGAGCAGGTTTTAATTAAATAAAGATGTCCCCTTTAAGTGAAAGAGGGATGCTCTCCCACCAATAGCCCCTTGAGAGCTTTATTTTAATATAGCCTTTCAAAACCCCATTAATTGCTCATCTATTCTTGACGTAGATTGGACAGTAGGCTGGGGCGGCTCCAGCTACCAGCGCAGCAAAAGCATACCTGGGGCGGCAAGCGGTGGGGGGCAGTTTGCCGGTTGCTGTGAGGGCGGCAGTCAGGCAGCCTTCGGTGGCATGCCTGCGGGAGGTCCGCTGGTCCTGCGGCTTCAGCGGCGGGCATGCCGAAGGCACGGGACCAGCAAATCATCCCCAGACATGCCGCCGAATCCGCGTGACCAGCGGACTGCCCGCAGGTATGCCACCGAAGGCCGCCTGACTGCCGTGCTTGGGGCAGCAAAAAACAGAGCCGCCCCTGACAGTAGGAGCTCTTTATGCCAGTCATTTATCTCTATATCCTTGTCATTATTACAATATGTCCAGCAGAGACAAGTGGTAGGTATATACAGCCCTTCCTAACTGACATTGAGAAAAGATCGGTTGTTCAGGGGAAAATCCACCCCTGAAGTTTACTCTGTGACTACACCAATGCCTCTTGCAGAATCTCCCACATCAAAGCAGACACTCTACCACTTTATTGATTCATCTCAGCAGATTCCCACTGAGATAGATACTGGCAACTATATTTCAATACACTTTTTGAAAATTCACTACACATTTAGTAAATGTGCTCTAACAAATAACCACTCTCTTGAGTTTTCCTTGAAACAAAACGAGATGACAACTTGCAACTAAACAACATTCTCACGTGAAAAGAATATATTCAGTCATGTCACCGTGGGGGAAAAAAAACAAATAAAAGGGAAACAATTTTTTTCTATAAAATGTAAGTCCAAACAATGAGCGGAAACTTAATTAGTCCATGAGCAGTGATTGGGGAAAAACAAACAAACAAACAAAAAACCACTTTATTCCTACTAGCTATCCCTAAGCAGACAAACATAGCTTACGTTTGCAAATACTGTTCACTAGGTACCGCTGACACCAGAGTACCAATTTAATAACAAACATATTTAAAAGTAACCAGTCACTCAAGAATGATAATCTCCAGCCACAATGGAAATTTGAACTGTAATCCTGCACCAGCCATGTGATGGACATGATTACTTCAAGCCTTTTTCCCTTTCTGATTTCTGTGTGTGACATTCACCTTAGTGCAAAGACCTATTCATCACTTAAACACGATAGGAACTTAAGTGGTATGTAGAGACTTGGGTGAGCCTTCTGCTCTGCAGTAAGTTTCACTGTTTGATTCTGTACTTACAGATATGAGCCCTGATCCTTATTTAGATGGCAGTGTAGAACTTCAGCAACATTGGTAACAAGTGACTATACAAAGTATCATGAAGTTGTTAATATAATAAGCAGAGCCTAACAAACGTCAGTGCTATAGATAGGTTAAAATTCACAAGACTTGGTGGAGATTCAGACCACAGCTACAAAACAAATTCACACTACATTCCCACAGTCAAACTTGCTCTAAAAATATATTGTTCAACTCTCACCCCATGGAGGTATGTCAAGCCTCTTTCAAATTCACAATAGTTGCAGTCTGCCATTGAATATTTGGTTCCCGTGTCAACGTCACCTCATCCCTCCTCTGTACTTGGTATGTAACCACAGAAATTGCTTTGAACCATTAACCTAACATGAGCAGAATGTGCCACTGCCAGGTGCATTAGGACAATGTGGGTGTGTTTTCAAAAGCAACTATTCAGCTATTCCTGTCCTATTTAAGCATGTAGGAGCACTTTTGAAAATCATGCCTGACATGTTTCAAAAGAACACTAGTCTAAGGAGGCCAAGCACCAGGGACTCAAATTTCTTCCCTGTGCCCTATTCTTCCTGAGCTCATCCTCCCCACTGTTCCAACAGGTTGGGGGGAAAACCATCAACAACTGGACCAAATCCTTTCTAAACTCCAGCCAGAAAAAATGACTAAGGTTTCATTCTAAATACACTGGTCTACAATTTTTGAGAAGTCGTCTGCTTCAGAGATAAAATGTGCTATTTATTATGTAT